CTTTACACCCAGACATTCAGCCTTTAGGGGAGTCATTACAGGTAAGTATTATGACCTTGTCAATATTTGGCTGTGGGCTCCCTTTGCTTTGTCAGGACAAGACCTTGCTTTTTCCTTGTTGTATTACTGTCATGCAGGTGATACGCTGCTGAGCCAGTAATAGTCCCACACAGTTTAGATGTTGTCTCTTTGTTTCTGTTTACTTCCAGTTTGTGTAACACAAGCACTGTGTTGAGCAGGCACACCCTGTTTCCCTCGTGTCTCAGTGTCAGAGACAAATTTTAGGAGAAAGTGCTCTGGAATGAGCATTTCCTCTAAAGAGAAAGGGCTTCAATAACTGCCTTTTCTTCTGCCAGTGAGAGAAATGGATACCAGGGGATGAAAGTGAAAAAAAGTAAAACTGTTTATTAACAAAGCAAGCTGCCTGGTTCATCTGTAAGATACAGCAGCCATTTCTGGGCATGAAGCAGATGATTAGGGAATAAAGTATCATCATAAAATCACCCTAGGACACCTAATTTTTAAATTTCTCTTTGAGTTTCAGCTGAACAAGGAGAATTAGGGAGATGTTAGGCAGGAGTTTAGTTAAGGACCTGAGTTCAGTGGAGAATTAAATCCTGCAAGACAAATGCTGAATGCACACTGCCTTGTAGAATTAATGCTCCTTGTGTATTTAGACAACTTAAGTGGCTGGTTGTGATGGTGAAGATGCACAATGAATTAGGCAAAATGAAATATTCTTTGATGCTCATTGAGCAGCAGAGCGAAGAACACTGCATGACCCATATCAAGTAGAGCTGAAGAGACATTATTTGAGCAAGCATGCATCTCTGATCTTGAGTATTTTATCTCTGATCTTGAGTATTTTTTTCTTTATGTTTGAGGTATCAACAAAAAGGAACTGGTGTCCATTGTGGATTGCTTCCAACCAACATATTATATAGGCTGAAAATCTTTTAGTAATAAACAGCTCAATGTGGTATGTTGGCAAAAGAGAAGACCCGAGAGTGAGTTCATATTAAAATTTAAAACCTTAAAAAGTGGGCTGGGGAAATGGTTTGAAAAGAAATGAACAGGACTCACCATCTAGCCTACTGTAAAAACAATGAAAGAATTACTGTTGCCATTTCATCCTTTGTGTGTGGGGTGAAAACGGTAATTTATCTTTGTGAGATATCTCAGCAACAAAACCTGACAATTGGAAATCACTAAAGAGGTGGGTCGCTGTTTTTAATGAGCGCCTTCTGCATCACAGCTTCTGTGGAGAAACCAGAACCTACAGAGCCTCGTGGTGTGTCAGCAAATCTCAGCCTGTGCACAGGAGTGTGCCTGCGTGCACGTGCACTGCTTTTCCTTTCTTGTTTTCTTTCAAAGAGGAGCACTGCATGAACAACGCTTGTGGTACAAATTAGAGCAAAGCTCAATTATATTTAAAGCGTGAACTTGGGAATCTCAGTGCTGGATTTTGTGCAAAATATTAATGCTCTGATTTTCTTTTCATTTCTAAGTGCCTCCTTCTAACCTTTTCCCTTGAAGTTCCTTTGAGTCCCAGAAGCCATACGAGCTGAAGGGGTGCTGGAAGGACAGCAGGCAGTACGTGAAGGAAACGGGAACACAGCAATTTCCCAAGCTCTGTTTCCTGAGGATTTGGGTAGAAGAAATAAGTTTTTCAAAAGAGATGAAGTGTGTTAGGCAGGATATGGGAGTCAGGGTGTTTCTTGTTAGAAGAACAAAATTTGTGCTGCACTGCAGCCTGGCCTCCTTATAGTCCTGCCTGCAGGACACTGTGACAGCTGCCCAAAGTCAGGTCTGTAGCACAAATGGGTGGAGAGGGAAGGAGAGACCTTACTGGCAGTGCAATGATGAAGAATTAAGTTATCACACCTTGCTGCTCCTACACTTGTCCTTCTGATAGCAGCATTATCTGGATTCAAATACAGCCTGGCTGGTCACAGCAAGCCTTGGACCATTGACTTTTTCATCTTTGTCAACAAGCATTTCATTCTGTGTCTCTCTTCCCTCCTCACAGTGATTTTAGGCAAGTTGGCTGTAATTGGTATTTCTATGTCCTTAATTGAGATGTCTTCAGGGACATCTGGGAATGGCATGAACGTGGTTCCCCTCCTATAAGGCATATCCCATGGAGTATTGCATTCTTGCTACAGCTGTGAGCCCTACTCACACCTGCTTGGAGTTTGCAGCATCAGAGTAAGTGGCTCCTCAGGGAAATGCTGCTCAGTGCCTGTGAGGGGGAAGTTTTGTCTAATGGCAGAATCAGCCCCTGCTTGCAGGGAAGTGGCATTGAACTCTGGCTGGTTTATTCTAGCTTGTGTTTTGTCAAGGTGGCACAGTTTGTTCATGTTCTTCATCAGATCACAGGCATCCACTACACATCTATTCCCAGGAGCCTGGCACAGGGCTGGCTGGAGTCTGTGGTCCATCCCCCTGCCTGACAGGTGAGTGAATGGCCCTGAGGAGAGAGTTGAGAGCAGTCCTGTTGGGAGACATGGTGAGAGCCTTGGCACACTCAGCTCCGGAAACCTCCTGAGCAAATTTAGAAACTTAGTCTTGAACTAATACAACCTTTCTCTCTCTGGCTGCTAGATGTTCTTCTTGGGGGAAATACAGCTTATTTAGTATCTTGTGTCCTTTGTTAACCTGAATGTTAAGAATATTCCTCTTGGGCAGGGCAGTTTGAACAGCCTGGTTGTGTGTAGCTGGCTGCTGTCCCAGGACAGACACCAGCTGACCCACTGGTCCCTCTGGTGTGACTGATCCACTGCTGGAGCCTCTGCCATGGTGGAGGTGACAGCTCAGAGTCTGATGTGTATTTTCATGCCAGCCTCAGTGGAGTTGTGTCAGATGTGACAAGCTGAGGCTTTGGGCTTGATTATGAATGACTGGGTGGTGCTGTGGTTTCCTGCCCTTTTGCTGCTCTATTTTCCTGATTTGTGGAGGTACAGAGACTGACTGCCTTGGTGAGGCCAGGCCTTCAAAAAGTACGACTCCTATCTATGCTGACAGAACCAAGAATTTTCTGCTCTGCCTAGCATTAATATTGGTTGGCAGAACTTGCTTTGAATTTTTAAATGTATTTAATGCAGCCTAGCTTGTTTGGGGCGGAGGTGTACGGACCCACATGAAAAAGGACCTAGGAATTCCATATTTCAGCTGTAATTACTGAGGGGGGAAAAGTGGAAAAAATTTGCAAAGCTATACTTGAAAATCATTCTAGCATAACATTATCATTACAATTATCTGTCAAAAGATTTAGTTCAATTACTTTTTTTAAGCTCTCTTGTCAAGATGGCCTTACTGGTTTCAGGATTGTGTTACTCCAAGGAGAGGTCAAGGAAGAGTGAATGCTAATTCTGTCATTAACCACTGTCAGACAGCCTTCAGTGCTTATTTTTTCTTGAAAATGCCTTTTTGAAAACCACAGCATTGTTACTGTGGGGAATCAATAGGCATAAAGTGCCATAGAATTCAGAGAGGAAAAAAACATCCACTCCCTGTTTATAGATTGTAGTACAGTAAGGTGAGAGGAAGAGAACTTCAGTTTAAAGTGGTAATTTTGAAATAATTGAATAGCAGCACAGTTCCCGTAGTGTAAAAGATTACACAGGGTTACTTAGATTTTCTTCACACAACAATAGGCCAGTAATAAAATTGCAAGGGAAGAATATTTGATGTAATAAACTCAAATGAAAGTGAATAAGCGTCAGTGAACAGCAGGACTTTGCAGCCTCTTGCTGCTTTGTCATGTTGGGTGAATGTTCAGAGCTGGAGGGGTCTGGGCTCCTCCTGGGGCTGAGGGTTTGGGAGCTCTGAGTGAGCTGGGCTGGCAGAGGTGTTACAGCATTTGTGGGAGGATTCTGTTTCACTGGCCTCAGTTTTGACTGCTAATGCTGATAGTTTTGTGCATTTCTGTTTAATTGAAGCTGCTCTAAAATGTGTGCTGAATCTTTTGGTGCAAATAATAACTTCACAGTGATTTAGATGGCCGCCAGCTTTATCTGATAATAAGGGTCCTGATCTAAAGTCTGTATCTTATAAGGAGAATAATTCCTGGAGTTTAAATGTGTCAGGGCACTTAAAGGCCCATGACTTCAAGCTAAGCATAGACTTGAGGACTCTAGCTTATAATTAAGCATCTTTGTGAGATATGCACTTAGATGAATTCAGATTTGTTTTACCTATTTTTAAGTGCAGAGAAGGAGCCTCAGATTGCTATTGCTGTCTTTTCTTGAATGGCTTGGTACTTGTAAATGAAAACTGAATTAGTTCCAGTAATTATATAAAATTAAAAATAAAATTCGAAACTAGATTTTCCCTTTCTCTTTTTTAATGTACACAATATAAAGTAGTAAACTTCACAGGTGAGACTCCCGAGACCGAAATTCATTGATTTCTGAATTCTGTTCACCTTTCTTTACCTCATTGTGTAGGAGAAATTTCTGGAACAGCATTAATTGTAGGTAATTGTAGAAGCTTTTACAGTGCCACCAGTGTGAAAGTAAGGTTGCTAAGAGAGATTGTGTGGATGACCTACTCTTTTCCTGAATAATATGATTTTTTTTTCTTTAAAGTGTGTGGCCTGTTTGAGACAAAGCTAATTACAACCATCAGGGCTTCCCCATAACATACAAAATAAATAACACACAAAAAGCTGCCATATTAGACCCATACTACTTCAAATAAACTGTTACATCTTGTGATTTTTTTCTTTGAGAGTAAAATGGTATTTTTGAGGTGTCATTTAAGAAAACCCAACCCTTTTGTGCAATAGTAAGAGGTAAATCGTTCATACATGGTTACTTTGAACTGTTATGTTTTCCTACTCCTGCCTAAACATAAACTGAGAAGTTGTTACATTAAGCCATTGCCCTGTTGTGGTTCTTTGAGAAATGTTTAACTGTAGCTGCTGCTTTGTTGTAGTGAAAAGCTGTGATTCAGACTTTGTACTATGTTTGCATTTCAGCTGCCACAGAAAGTGAAAAATGAAGCCCCTTGTTTTCTTGGTTCTTGTGATCTGTACTGTAGTCAGCATGAATTTGAAGCTCGTGTCAAAGAGAAATTCTGGTAAGTCACTGAAAATTATTTTTACTTTTGGATCTGGACTTCATGCTCATGCAATCAAGCATTTTAGATGGCTGCATTTTGTTTTGCATATATACTGCTTGTTCTGTTCTGCCAAAAAAAAAAAAAAAAAGTAAAGTCATAAATGGTATGGTTTGCTTAGTAAATGAAAGCTGTTTGAAAGTGTCCTTATGTTTTTTTTTTTTTTTTTTAATGGAAAAAAGAAAATGTTGATCAGGTTGAAACTTCAACCGGCGGTTACAAAGGTAATAATGACTTTGGCATTGTGGCATTGTTCTAACATCCAGTCTTTTACTCATGCTAAGGGATTTTCTTAACTGTGGATGTGGTCTGTGGTGAGTTTTAGGTCTGGATGATGTTTGGTGTGTTGAAAGGTCATCTTTGATAACGTTACACTGGCCTGGTATGTGATCATGTATAGGGTTAACTGGGAAGAGCTCTCCTGAGTAGATAATCTCTAATTATTCTGTCAGGGAAAGAGAGTAGGAGTTGGTTCATGTTTACATCTGCTTTTGAAACCTTCTAGTAGTGACAGAACTCTTCAAAGCAGCATCAGAATCTCTCCTTCCAGGGTAGACAGCTCCTCTGGATAATGGTCATCTGTACCTGAGCCTGGAGTGATGTCTGCTCCGTGCAGCTTTGCCCTCTCGAAGGAGTGACTCCGTGAGACTGTTTGTATTTCTCAGGCTGTGAGTTCAGAAGGCACCGGGCAGAGAAGTGGGTCAGCTGCAGGGCTGCACAGGGGTGTCAGTCTGCTGCAGCCTGGGCTGTCCGTAAGGGTAAACATTGCACTTTGAAACTTTTGATGGCGTGTTGTTTTCCCACACTGTTTGTGTGCTCTACTTACATGTGTGAGGGCTTCCACTGATCCTGCTGGCCTCAAGGTCTTCAGTCTTTTCAGCACTGCAGGTACAAATGGAAATTACTGGCTTCAATTGGTGTGGCTTGTGTTAAGTTTAATTTCTGCATTTCTTGAGAACAGAGGAGAAAATTACTGGGCTGTCTATTAAAAAGAATTGTATGTCACATCCCAGGCTGGGAAGTGTTACTCTGGGAACTGCCAGGTGCTGGGCTGAGTTCTTTCTGCCGGGATGGAAAGTGTAAATAGAGATTGCTGAACTGAGCCAGCCTCTAGCTTTTTGTTGTGGTTATTGTGCCCAGAGCCTAGTTTGTGCTGTGAGAGCAGTCATGGATATTTGTGGGGGGATAGAATATAAGAAAATAAATATAGTGCAGAAAGCAATTTCACCCCTAAGGAGCTGCAGCTGGGACAATTACCAAAGATTAGGAACAGGCCACAGTTGTGACCAGTGAGAAGAAGAGTGCTGTAAAAGAGTGGGTTGGCTGGTTGAGAGGGAATTGGAGTCAGTTTGTGACTTTGTGAGGGAGAAAGAGTCAGTGCTCTGAGGAGCTGCCCATGAGAAAACACCAAGAAGGTATGAAACTTTTGTGATAAGGAGACAACAGCATGGAACTTTGGCAATAAGATGACAACAAATATTAGGGGTTGGCTACAGTGCAGTCTTGGTCTGATCTCTGCTGAGGGTGATGTTGTTCCTGTTCTTCAAAACTGCTGTCACTGGCCTAGATGGAAACCCTCTGTGAGATGCACAGTCAGTGTGAACCCGAACAGCCTCTGTTCTCTGATGCCAGGCAACAGCACCTGGCTGCAAGCAAGGGTCCGTGCAGTTCCTTTGCCAGGAGCACACAGCTGTAGAAATGGCATGCTGGTGGCTGTAGCATTGTTCAGCTGGTAGTTTACCTTTAATTAGATTTACATCTTTAAAATCTGTTTTCTTTGACTCTGCAGAACTTTGACTCTTGTGCTTATAGCAGCTGTTGACAGTGTCAATTTAGGTTCAGTACTGCTGGGAAAAATGCTTTAATATGTTAGACTGCTTCTTGCTAAGTATAACCCACTAGTGAATAGGTGGTTCTTTTTCATTTAGTTTGATTGTGCCAGTATGTGTTGAGAATAAGATGAAGAGGAAAAAATGCACATAAACTAAAATTACAGTTTCTTTGCAAGTACATAATCATGTAGTTGGCTTTCACCTTGAGTACTCCTTCTGGTTGCTGCATGGACCAAACTATTCATTTCTTTTTTTCTTTTTTTTTTTTTTTTTTTGCTTTTTCCACTACATTAAAATAATTTTCTGTTCCTGTGATATCAGCACTTGGAGTAAAACTAATAATTTGACACCTTTTCTGAAAGGTCTTTACATTTGAAGGACTTGTTTGATTGCTTGGGGCTTCACTAAATGTTACGTGTTGTGAAGATGGATGTTCCAGCCACTTCTGAACTTTAACTGTTGGTATAGTTTTAGTGGAAGATTAGGGACAATGGCTGGATGCAGACAGGCAAATGCACAAAGAAACAATGTCAGCATATCTTCCATAGGGTGACAGTAGCTCTAACAGGCTGGTCCTGGAGTTCAGAGTTTTGTTTTTTGTTTGTGGGTCACTGATGTCTTGATGAAGGAGAGTGGAAAGGGGAAATTAATGCAATGGTTATTTGTGGGCAGCTGCTCTGCAGTGTACACTGGAAGGAGGAATAGTGTTTTAGCTGTAGATTAGGGCTGAGGTGGGGGAGTGGATGAAGGGCCCAAAGGATGCTCTGTGGACAGGATCTCTGCAGCAGGGTCTGGCTGGGTGTTGTAGTCTTGGGTCTTGCTGAGTGTTGGTGTGGGGATGTCTGTGCTTGGTGAGCATCCTCAAAAGGGGAAGAGAAATTGTGCAGTTATGTAGCGCAGTGTGAAGCAGTGCATGGAAGGTGCTGACACTGATGAAAAAGACAGATTTGGGCTACTAGAACAATAAACCAGCAAAATTGGTGTCTTTGCTGACTTATGTAGACTGGCATTTTTTTCTAAGCAATGCATAGAATTATTGCATGAATGGCCAGAATTGTGATTAGTGTCAAGTACAAGAGCAATTATGGAGTTGACTGGAATGTGTGTAATATCACATAATGGAATGTATCTTGTTTAAGGGGTAGGGAGGATCTAAAGGGAGCTGACTTGAAGAGGAGCAAGGAGAAGGTGAGGTGTTGTTGCCAGGTAATACAAAGGCATCACTCAACCGAGGCAGTCAGGAGTGGGTCAGAATATCCAGAAGGGCTTTATAGGTGGAGTTGCCTTAAAGAGAGGAAAGGTTCGGCTAGGAAAGCATCTTGAGAGGCTGGTGCAGAAATTCTCCTTCAAAGTCAAGGAATGGAAACACAAGGAGAGAAAGTTGAGGATGAGAGCTCCAGACAGCAACAGCAGTAATAGGGGCTGGACAGGCAAGAGTCATTAAAGAGAGGTCAGGAGTGGAAGATCTAAGATGTTAAAGAGAAGGTGATGAAATGGTGCTCCAGCTGCAAGCATAGAACTGTAGTTTGCTGAAAAAACAGTCCCCATGGAATGGAATAGAAAAACAGAACTGAAAGATTTTTCTCATGTCCTTTACTTCCCCTTTGTTACAGATTTAGGAGTCCATATTTCCTATTTGGAAAAGAGAAGCAGGGATGCATATGAAGACTGCAAATAGATTTAGAGTATCCTGCAATGCCGCAAAAATGACACAGAAACTTGTAGCAAGACAAATTTGGCTGCTTCTCACTTGAGATGTGGTGCCAAAATAATTTAAATGGGTGAGCTAATTTAATTATGCTCATCAGATTCTTCTTTGGAGGCAGCAACTTCCCAATGCTTCAGAAGAAATCTGTCATGTCTACAGAGTAACGATTGCTGTTTGTGGTGGGAACAGAATAGTTTGCCTCAAGCGTCTGTGTGAGTGTAATGTTGACTTAAGTTTCACAGGCACTTCTTAATATTAAGGAGCATTTTTGAAAACTGCAGGTCATCCTTTTTGCCTGCTTTAAGAAGTAAAACTGAGCAAACAGCAAATGTGGGGACTGCAGCTTTAGCAATATCCTAGGAAGGGTATTTTACAGGTGGAGGTTATACAAATGAATTGAGGGTGTAGGAGTTTATAGGTTCCCAGCTGATAGGTGATTTCCTTTTAATCGGATTAAGTGACTTCTTTTCCCAAAGCCTTTGTATGTACAGTACTTTGACTAATCATAGCAGGGAATATAATACCAATTTAAAATCATTGCATTTTTTTAAGCAAAAGATTTTTCAGATTATAGAGTCTGACTTACTAGACATAATTCCATTACTGAATAATTGATGACATTTATTGTTGCTATATTATTTGCTGAGCTGAAATAAAAGCATGCTGGAGCTCTGGAGGGCATGCCAGCCTTGTGTGGAGGAGCAGGGGCAGACATCCCCAAGGTTTCTGTGAGGCTGCTGCAGGTTAACACAGGAGGAGCCTTTCTGCAGGTTAACACAGCTGAATTGGCTCAGGTTTGGCACAGGGCAGCAATGGGGAGCAAAGACACATGGACCTCCTTGCTTGTGTTGAAGAAAATAGTTTATTGCAACAAGCCAGGCCTTTTTATGCTCTAAACTGAACCAAAACAAGCAGGCACTGGCTGCGTGCCACTGCGGTGTCCCTGTTCAGTGTCCCTCTGCCCCAGCAGCTTTCTCACCTCGCGGTGTCCGCGTCTCGCCAGCCACTGCCTCAACGCAGGGTGACCACACCCCAGCTGTACAGCCTGTCCTCTGTTACAGAACCCACCTTTCACCCCACTGTAGCTGAACCTTCCCCAGAGTGCTTTCTGGTCAGCAAGGGTGAACTGAAGTCAACAGGATTTCTTGTCCCACAGCATGGGTATGTCCCCCAAGCCACAGTCATGTCTTCTCCTCTCCTCTGTCAGATGGATTTGCTGTGGGATTCCAGCCTTCCTTCTCCTCCTGTTTCTCTTGGGACCATCCAAAAGGCATTTATGCCATAGGAGCACGTGAATCTCTGATCCTGCACCCACCTTGTCACCCTCCATCTGCATCTGACTCTATCATCATTGGCTTGGGAGAGAGAGGGCTTGACTTGGCACTGGGCCTTACTCTGTATGGACATAGCTAAATTGTCTT